AAAAAAAAAAAAAAAACTGGTTAAAGATTTTTCTTATTTTGGACATATATTATAGATATTTTATCATATTAAATACCTTTGTCTCTGGGTGCCTGACCAAAAGAGATGCGTGCAGACCAGTTTTGGCCATTTCTGCACATTTACACCATCCTCTGTAATACAATACCTCAAACTCAACAAGGACAGAAGCCATTTTGTTGTAGCTTCGAATTATCTTTTTCATTTCTTGTCCCTATAGAAGTAAAATAGATCATATGCATTATACAATTTTATGTATTTTATTTGTATTTTAGGTGCATGCAACATTTGTACTTAAACAAGCAAAATGAAAAAGCAGAATACATTTTAATAGCCAAGAGGGAATTATTACCCACCTAATACTAATTCAATACTGGGTTGTTAGCCTATACAGCACCCTGCTTGATGATTTAAATCCTGCTCCCAGTTCCTTCCTCATTATTCACAGTTACTAACCCAGTACCCATTTTATTTAGCCTGGTGTAAATGTTTCTTATTCTGCATAGAAATATCACTACAAAATATCTATTATTTGAATATGGCCTATGTCTGCTTGCTAAAACATATAACTGTAAATGATGGGGCCCCATAGCAACATCATTACACGGCCCTTTAAATCTACAACACCCAACTTCAGGGTGATTTCATTACTAAGACACTCTAAAGTGGAACATACACATTGCAATCTGACTGTACAACCTCATTTAGATCTACCAAGTAATTCAAGGGCCTTCCTGACTGGATATTAACTTAAATGCACTGCTTAGGTACGCACTGACATTACATGAACCTGGTTAATCTAAAGGAGGCTTTAAAAAGAGAGATTGTAATGTGTCAGGCCAGTTTAAGACAGTAAGTGATGCTGTTTCAAACAGCATGCTATCCTATCAAACTTTTTACCAAATTCTGTTGTTGCCCGGCTAATATTAACAAGACAGACAGACTCTCCGTGTGCTATACATGCCTTGTTGTCAACTACAAGCATAATGGGCGCATCTTGTAGTTGTGAGCAAAAGATCATGAAAAATTGCAGCAGAAGAGGTAGCAAAATATCTTTGTCCCTGGTTGGAACTAAAGCATCTATGATCCAAAATGTAGAGAACTGAATTTATGTAACAAGCAGAATAGTCTAAGGCCCCATTCACACGTAGCGATTTATCGCGCGATTTCCGCCGCGATATCGCGCATTTTTGCCGCGCGATATCGAGAGAAGTCGCCGGCTAATGATATTCAATGGAGCTGTCTTAGCTCCATGCCCTGCGTCGCGGTCGCAAGTCGCTTCGACAGGACCCTTTTTGCGGCGGATTTTGCACGATTTTGCTTTTTTCTAATGAAGCCCGAAGGAGAAGGTTGCGCTACTGTCGCTGGATCGTCACTGGAACGTCGCCCCGAAAGTGGCGCTATCCCAGCCGCTGCAAAAGGTATGTCGCTACGTGTGAATGGGGCCTAAAGGTTCTATGCACTACTTTTTAGCTCTCACTGCTAAAAATATCAGTTTTTATGACAATTACCGACCATTACAACTTAGTACATTGAGCCTCTAGGCAACGTCTTATTGATGGTTAAAGTGTTATTAAACCCACAGCCACCATTTTATATGTGTAATAAAGTAATATAACACTATAAGCAACTGTATGTTGAATAGATAAAAATACTATTTTCAAATATCTAATTTTCTTCTTTATATATGATCATGTGACATCTATTCACTTGCTCAGCACTTTGCAAGCAGGAAAGCTTAGATGCATCCTCAGACATCACTGCAGGAGGTTTTTTGGTTTTTCCATGGCAGCCCAGCACCGATTGGTGCTGTTGCGTTCCCATTAATGAAAAAAAAAATACATTCCAAGTCACATGTGGGGTGGCTCGAGGAGGAAGAAGGAGAAATTGAAGGGTTCTCAAAAGGCAACTGGCGGAACATGCACAATGGGAAAGGCAATGCAAAATCCAGAGGACTGGCTGCTATTCAATTGCCACTAGCGAAGGAAGGTCCAAAGAAAGAGCAGGATCTACCAGGTATTTTACAAAATGTGAAGAAATGCCAGATGGAAAGCTTCAGTACACAGGTCGAGGAAATAATGGTAAATAAATAAGCCCACAGATTTTATGGGGTTTAATAACACTTTAAATATCCCTAATGTGGCTTCAATTTTGGACAGGAAATTGCAGCAAAACCCATATTTTCATGTAGCCAACTTTTTTTTCCTTAATTCATCTAGATAAATTCCAAGATAATTAAATACCAGGTTTGCTGATTTCCAAAGATACAAACCCAACCTAACCAGAACTAGGGCAACTTAGGTCTTTTAACGTGATTTTATTTCGGCTTACACAACAAAGTTATGCATTATGTTATACTGTAAATAGAGTAAAGTTCTACTGTGACATTCACTGTGAATGTATTGATTTACCAATAAAAAGTATACAGACCTGCAAAAGTTCCATTTTTGTTTTAAGAAATCTCATTGGTTGGTCAATTTTCCTGCACAGTTGTCGCGCCCACATGATTTTCCCTGTTATCTGTAAACATCAAGATAAAAGATATACAGATTTCCATCTTCCAAATCCACATGCAACAATGATTAAAGGTAGCATGATACTACATTTTAAACTTGCATTTAGCAGTGTAAATTATTAAATATTTGTACATTACTTATGCATTGTATTTACTCACCGGGGGCACATTTCGAGGTGTTGGAGGACTGTCTTTATGTTTCTGGTAAAGTTTTCGCACCATATCCAAGTCTCGACTGTATCTCTGCAGAACTACCATATATTTTTCCCCAAAGTCAAGATGGTTCTTTCCAATTCGCTCAAATTTAAGCAGCAGATTTACCATCTGCTCAGTCTAATTAGAAGCAGAACAAATTATCATTTAATTTGAAAAGCTTGTAAGTTTTTGATTATTTCTAGATATCATTCAAAAACAAAACACAAGAAATGTTAAAATGCTCTGTGATCACTTAGGTGTAAATTAAGCACTGGAATCAAACGGTTATTTTGTTAACATATGTAGGATCTGACTTATGTGTTGTGTCAGTCAAACACAGGCAAGATGGAAGGTAAAAGTACTTGGAAAGAAAATCTGGAATGAAAGGAATATGGAGTAATATTTTCATGTTTGCCACATGTCTACAAAACAAACCTAGCCATGTGGTAGAAATATGTATTTATTTAAAACAGTAAATCCATCACTAACTCCACTTTTAAAGATGCCCAAGACTGGGAACAGGTATGCCATTTTTAAACTAAAAGGGTTCTACCTAATATTTAGTGCCTCAGACAAATTTCAAACTCTGTTGGGTCACAGGCCATCTCCCCCTTCCTAGACAGGGTAGGTTGTTTTCTTCATTTATTCTTGGTTTTAGGCTGAAGTAGGGTATAGGTGAAGACCGAGGTGGTCTGCGGTTACTGAAGCATAATCAGACTTAACTCTTTACAAGTGACTCTCACTGCCACAAACCCTTTCCCATTCCTCCCCCTTCCCTTACTGTTCGCTGGTCTCTTCCCCCTATGTTTTCTACTTACTTAATTGTTTTCAACTTAATGTTGTACCATTCAGACAATTTGCAAGCCTCAAATCACCAAAACCTGACTTTGTAACCTCTATAATTTTGCCTCCTGCTGTTCCACTAAGGTCTGTTTGGTATTGTTTTTTTAGTGAAATTGTATCATAGTTGTATGGAATGGAAACCTTTAATAAAAACCCTTTAAGCTAAAAGGGTGCTACCAATGAAACAGAAATCAGGTCCAAATATCTAACTCTACAGGCGCCAGCTTGTTAAATAATGTTGGCATTATTGTGTTAACTATGGTACACTAACAATAGTAAACAACTACGAACAGATATCAACCCAGCTAAATCATGAAAGTCAATTTCATGGCAATTGCATAGCATTCAAAACACAGTGAAATCATGTGCAGAACATATCATGTGCAATGTATGTGCAAAATTCTTTGGCATTATTCCTTATGTCTGTTTTGTGACCAAAGCAACAGTTTTAGTCTTGCGTGATTATGTGGCTATATAGCTAATGCCCTACTATTTTCACTGTTTTTAAACACATGTAAATATGTTCAGTTACTAGTATTTACACAAACTTCATATAGGAAATAAATCTATCTCTAAATTGCATTAGAAACAGAAGAAGCCACAGATTAGCAATAACAAACAATGAGATTTGATAAATGTGCTGTATGTGATTATAGAGTTTTTCTTTTTTTATGTGTACACTAATAAAATTAATAAACTTACAGACAAAGGTTTTTCAAACCAAGAATCCACAAATGCTTGAAGTGATTGGTAAAGACCTTCTATTTGATTCTTGAATTCCACATAGTCTTTATCAAACTGAAATTAAAAGCAAACATAAAAATGTCATCTTATACAGACCGTGTAAATATGTAACGTTTTATAGAATTTCACTGATATTCCCAATATCAAACGGAAGATCTCCTGCTATAGAATCAAACATTTAAACCTATGGGTAAGGGAGCTGGGTGTTTGATGTCTTCTTATATCTTCCATTGAATCCTCCAAAATATGGCATAGGAGTAAAAATATTACACAGTAAATTGATAGTGCTTCCCCACTTTGTACATAAATAAAATACGTGTTGATTGTGTGCACACTTCAGTTTATAAATAGATGAGAAGTGCAATTTAGTAGCAGAAGGCTACTACTAGTTATCTCTTACTATATTATTGATCTAACTAGGCCTGTGGGCCCAACCTGAGTTTCGCTATAAGAAATAGTTTTACATACTTCTTGCTTACGGTGATCCAGGACATCATACGTCTTTGATTTGGTGTTGCTAACAATTGTTTGGTAGCGAATATTGATTTTTTCAATTCCTTCAATTCGGATATTCTGAAGATCGGATAGACTTTCCAAAACATTGCTCAAGTCTGATATCTTCTCAAGCCGCTTACAAAATGTGTCCAGTTTCCCAAATATATAATTTTCACTGAGAATACAATAGTATGGAAAGAAAAGGAGAAAATGTATAGGCACATTAAAATGTAATTTTATGCAATTAGGAGTTTAATAGCATTTTCAGTCTTAAAATTGGATTATTGAAATCCCATTGATTTAATACCTTTTTCTTTTGTGAATATATAAATCATTTTTACATTTAATTTACCAGGCGTTAAAATGTCTTCCTTTTTGAAGAGTATGGGCAAAAAAAGCCCACCAAGGCTACAGTAACGATTATGCTACTAAAATAGTCAGTTCACAATTTGTTCTAAAAGCACCAGAAGTATAAACCAGGTAGAGAAAATCCTTGTAATTTATGAACTTATGTTGACTCTCAAAAAAATGTAAATCCTATCAGTTCCAGTTGCATGTGTCAGACTTGGAGAACATTGGAGGCAACTGAGAAAAACATTTTCGTCAGAATAACAAATTGTAGTGATTATATTAATTTACTTAAAGAAGAACTCTGGAAATTGAACAAACTTACCCCTGCAGTGGGGCTAGCCCCACACTGAAAAAGATTAAGTGCTCATTTTGTCTAGGGGGCTCACATAAAGCAGATGTACTCACCTGATGATCCATCCCCCCAGTGGTCAGCACTCGCCTCTATTCCACTCTGTTCCAGCTGTGGAACATCCTCGCGTCTAATTTAAGTCACTGGACCTTTAGTCAATTGGCCAGTAGTTCCCTGAGGCTGTCCCTGTTCTCAATAATGCAAAACTGTGCTGCTGCAGGCCAATTTCTATTAAACATTCATTAAGAATGAAGAGGCCAGAGATGATACAGCAGTGCAAAATTGACCAGCAGCAGGACATGTTTAGTGAGAGCAAAATGGATGAAATATTTTAGAGAAAATTAGCACATGCAGATGTTTCTGAGTGAGAATTTAGAGGCTGCGGATTACACATAAGTGTAAAATTGGTCAGCAGTCAGCGGTCAGCAGCAGCACAATAAATAACGAGGCTAGGTCCAAATTTACTAGAGACATACAGCACAGTCTGGAGCTTTATTGCAAGAATTAAGGTACTCCAGATAATAAAGTTGTGTTATATTGGACAACAGCAAGGCAGTTTTAATCAGGGACCCTAAGCCTAACAGGTGTATGCCTAACTTTTACTTTATCTATGGGGTTGGGGGGGAGGGTGAATGTTCGTGATGTAATGTGAGGTGGTTTAGGTGCACACTTTCTTTTAAACAATGCAGTGAAATACCACACGCTCCCCCCGAAACCCCCCATTTTATTTAAAAAGGAGCCTTGAAGAAAAAAAAAAAAAGAAGATTTCTATTGACCAGACAGCAACATAAAGTGCCTGCTGACTAAATCAACCACATAATAAATTGAAAGATTGATTGCTTTAAGAAATATCAATCATTAGACATGTGCACAGCATAATAATTTGTTTCGGACGAAATGAAGGAATAGTGGAAAACCTTTTCATTTGTTTGATGAAAGCACACATTTAAAAAACAGAACACGCAGTGGCCATATTGGCCACCGGCCCATTCTGCGGGCTACCATCTTGGAGGCGGGGCGTATGATGTCACATGACGCCAGCGTCGGGAGACATCATACTCATGTATGGACGCCGCCATCTTGGACGCAGCGGTGCCCATACAAAACAAATTGATATATGCAGTAATATAGTTTTTTATATATATATGGGCAAATAATAATTTGTTATTTCAGATTTATGTTTTCCCTACATCACCTTGTAATACATTGACACTGATAGGCAACCATCCCCCCCCCCCCCCCCCCCTCCTT